AAAAAAAGAGAGAGGGGGGGAGTTTCAGCCCAACCTACATCTTCCTCCCCACCAGGAAGCTCCCCGCAAACCTCTTTCATCTCACCCCCAGCTGGGCCCAGCAGCAGTTTCCAGCACATCCCAAGGCTTCCCACTGTGGATGACATCAGGGTTACAGCTGAAGCCAACCTGGTGTCTACGCTGCCAACGCAACGAGCTGCACCAAGGCTCTGCCAGAAAGGGAAGGTGCTATCCTGCGCTTGCCCTTCCATGCCAGTTGAGGTCTCCCTTTCCTTGCTCCCTCTAGCTCCACATCCCAGGCCACCCTCCAGTCTCTCTCACGGTCCTGTTCTCTCCACTGATCCCCAAACCCTTGGCTCCTTCTCCCCAACACACCTCCACAAGCCCCTTGCCAGTGCCCTCCTCCTCCCTTTCCCCTCTATGATTTTCCAGCAGCTCCAGAACCCGTTCCTCTTCTTCCACCCTCCCTCCCCACCTTCAAAAACTTCCACTTCCCTCATTTCAGCCCCTCTCCCCACTGCAGCTCCCCTGCCTGCCTCCTCCATCTCCATCTCCCTCCCCTCTGTCTCCCACACCTCCTCTCTCTCTCTCAGCTCCTTCCCTTACTAATAGGCTGCTAAGCTGTCCTCCCATCTGACGGAAACTGCTCCATTTGAACTAATTCTTTCTCTCGACTGGAGACGGCGTTTCATCTCCGCCACTGTGCCCCCTTTAATGCCTCTTCTCTTTTATAATCCTGTCCGCTCCTCCCCAGAATCCCACTGGGATACGAGGGCAGCAAGGGGATCTCTGCGCTTGGCACGCCTGACCCACAACTCTCATTAAAAAGAATCTTTTTCAAAGCAGACACTGTGAAAAATAAATAAATAAATTAAAACAAATCTGTCTCACTGCTGTCTCGGGTTCCTTAAGGGAGGCTGGCACGGGGAGTGGGGGGGGAGAAGGGATGGAAGAAGCTATTTGGAGAAGTAGTCTCCATGGTAACCCACATTCCCACCACAAAATGGGCACAGGTCACCTGTTTCCATGAAAGTTTTTTCCTCCCTCCTTCCTTCTCCCTTTCCAAGCCTTTCCGCCTCGCCACCAGGTGCCAGGGGAGCTGACGCCAGTGGGGGAATGCCAGCACGGCTCCGACTGTAGCGCAATAGGCTGGGGGAACCCTGGCTTGCTACAGCTGCTTGAGTCCCTGAGCCTCAGCTACCAGCTTCAGGAAGGAAACCAAGTGCAGAAGCTCGCCGGCATGTGCATAGAGTCTCCGGGGGCTCGAGAGCAGCCTGGGTTCAGCAACAGGCAAAAAGAAGCCAAGTGCTGACATGCCTGCTAACAGCAATGGGTACCACAGCTCAGTAAGCGCGGCTGTTTTCGGACAGGGACACAAGAGCACTGGGGACCTGGCAAAAATGGAAGGAGAGTTGTAGATGGCTGTGCTGGTGCTGAGACAGGCCAGGACATGGGCACACAGCCCAGCAACAGGATGAGGCTGGTCCCAGCAGCCCTGCAAAAAGCAAACCTTGGGTCACTGAGGGACCAGGGACTAAGCTGGGCTTCAGCTCTTGCTCATCTGGTGTGAAAGAGAAACACCAGTAATGCTTTTAGCAAAGCTCCCAGTGCAGCTCTCAGGAGACAGCTCACAGCCAAGCTGCAAACGACCTCCTAACTTCCCCAAATAATGCTGCAGAAAGCCCAGAGCCTCCACCACTCTTGGCACAGCACACTGGGACAGGGAGGATTCCTGAGCCTGCTCCCTCTGCCTTGAACCAGCTATTGCTCAGGCGAGGAACTTCATCTCCCTCCTCCATCCTCACAGTCTAACACACCTGGGGTGGCAACACTCTGCCAAAGGACTTTAGGTTAGGCAAAGGCATGCACCCCTACAAACATGCTCCTGGGATTGGAGCAGGCATGGCCCAAGGGCAGGACTTCTTACAGGCAAAGCAGATCCTGGCCAAGCATCACGGAAGAATGCCAGCACCCAAATTCCAGGCTTATCCTATTTCACCCACAAAACAGCAGAGAACTCCCCATACAGCTGAAGATCTACTACAAACTTTACAGGGATGGTGATATCAAAGAGAGAGGAACATATATCTGAGAACAGAGCACTTTGTCCGCTCCAGACAAAAGGGGAGATGGATATCAAGATGGGTTCCCCTCTTCTGCTCACTCTGAACACTTCCCTGGATGCTGGCACTTCCATATGATTTCAGTTACTTATTTTATTTTATTTAGAAAATGGCCACTCTCATTAAAAGCTGCCAGGTGTTCCCAGAACAATCTGTGGTTCCCTTTTTAGTTCTAACGATTTCATCTCTTGTGTGACAGATATGCTCGCCAGGACCTTTCCCTGAGCAATGGAACATCAGTCTTGCATCGCCGAGTGCTCACTGAGCCAACCTGATGCTCCCACCCTCTCCAGCCCCTTCCCTCTGCACACACACGCACATGTTGTTGCAGACCTGGCAGCAGCACTCAACCCTCCCCCCTAAAAAAACAGCCAGCATATCTCTAGCACAGCAGGCAGCTTCCAGGAAGAAACACAGAGAGGATGGAGCAACAAGAGGATGACAGGGAACAACACACAGATTATGCTCTCTGTGCCAGGCCCTGCCAGCTTGGTGCCATCTTTAGCATGGGGGGCAAGGCAGCAGTGGTCTCATTTGCCCTGGGCTTAGCACACCTTCTGCTGGTCCCAGGAGACAGCTGCCTAAGGCCAGGGCAGACAAGGTGGTCCACTCCCAGCCCTCAGCTGAAAATTCTTGGGTTGGCACCCAAGTAGCAATCTTGCAGCAAAAGCAGGCTGAAGAGATTCTCACAGTTCCCCCACAGGGCTGGGATTTCTGCCAGGAAAAGCAAGTTTATAAATAGAGTGTTTCCACACGAACAAACGAAATTGCTGGCACTCAATGGTCAAACAAGCCACAGGGTGAGCACCATCCTTTTCCGAACACCTTCCCCAACAAGGAAGCATGGTCACCTTTCTTCCACAACTAGCCAGAACCTTTCTTGCTCTCCAGAAAGGCCTATACCTGGAGGCGTCTGTGTCAGGTGTGACCCATCCCAAAGTCCATCCGTCTCCCCGCTTAGAAATACTCTCATTGCAGTTGGTCTGGCAGCAAGCACAAACCAGCAGAGCAGCCCCACGCTTGATTCAAAAAGACCTGAAGCAGAGAGAATAGCCACAAGCTCAGGAAGGTGGCAAGGGCTAAAACAGCAACGAGCTCTGCAGAACGAAGACCAGATGGGCTGGCAGTGATGCAATCCACACGGAGCCAAAGGGCACAGATTTCAATTCACTGCTTGAAATTAAGTTTTCATCAGCTCACGGGTCAAAAAGTTTCTACCTTCTTCCTGCAGGACATATCTGCCCCATAGATGAGGGTGCCGAAACAGAAGTTTCACAGTGCTGTACATTACAACAAAGGTATACATATCTGTCTAATCATAATCACAAGACAGACTTTCAAGCAGAAAAATAGTTTTTACTTCTATGTAAGGGAGAAGTGGAGCAAGTCATCAGATGAGAACTGGCTTCTCCAAATCAGACAATGTCAGAAAAGACTCCCCACCCCTCGCCAGCTGAATGAATGGGAGGACATCCCTACTGGGGAACTATGTGCCAGATCACAAAAGGAGGAGATCTTGTTCACATGGCCCAAGGGAAGACATCAAGAGACAAGAACTTGGAGCAGTCCTATTAGCCGATGGCAGGAAGAACCTTTAACAGTCTGTTTAACAAGTGTGACACTCTTCTTGCCACAGTTGCTTACCCTGATGTAGGTGTCGAGGGCTGGGTGGACGCGGTTGACTGCCAGATGGATAGACAATGGTGTGGTGAATGGGAATGTTGCCATAACCACATGGCTGGGAGCGGGGAAGGAGAAGATCTTGAAGCCATACTTCTGGAATTGCTTGATCTGCTCCTCTGACGGCTTCGCTTCACCCTCACTCAGGATTCGGCCTATGGCAAATCGGCACTTTTCTGGCGGTACCTGACCAAAAGGAACAAACAGACAGCATCAGAAAAAGAGAGAGGCTAAACACAGGCCAAAAGCTCACACCTGCTGAGTGTGGCAGCCAAGAGAATGCTTTGAAAACTGAGTGGCCTTTACTTGAACAGGCTGGCCAGGCTGTGCCAGAGCTGGCAGCTCAGCTTCACAAAGCCCTACTCCCAACATGGACTGAATTTCTCTCCTAAAACCTGACACGCAGTTTGGTTTTCTCTCTTGTGTAAAACCAGGAGACAAGAGGACAGAATCTTGGCTCCCACCTGAGGAACATAAATCAAGGTAAAGGCAATCATAAGCAGTCCAGCACAAGAGCATCAGGGACACCAAACCGTGCATCTACTCCTAGCCAAGGCACTGATCTGTCCTCAAACTGTTCACGCTCCTCCCAGCTTCTAAGCTCACAGTCAAATTGGGAAAGGCACTTATCTCCTCTGGATGGCAAAGGGACTTGTCCACAGGACTTGCAGCAGAAGAGACCTAAACCCTGCTCAGCTGCTTGCTGGCAAAAGCCTTTCATCCAAACCTGCTCCAGTGGCTGCAGGGGTTTAAAAGCAGGGAAAGCAGAGCTATTGGCAGAGCCACTGAACCCACTCCATCCCAGAAAACCCATCCCACCTCTCACTGTGGCTAGGAGGTTCCCAGCTCTGCAGACACACCTAGATTGACCAGGGTGCCCATAGAGCTTCCCAAAAAGGGGTTCATAATCCTGCTCATGCTCAGGTGGAAGCACTGGGGAGCCACTGCAGGTCCTCCAACCCCATGTGCAAGGCTGAAGCTGGCTTCTTCCACCTCTTCAAAGAGGGAGAGTTTTGGCTCCAGAAGAGAAAGCCTGGAGGCTGGCTGGAGGGACATTGAGATCACTTCTCTGGGACAGGAGCAGCACCATGTGATAGCTGGTCCACGGGCCACAGCTGCTGCAGAAAGCCCCCTCATGACAGTGCCAACCCTATTAAAGGCCTGATTGGAGAGACACACTCATTGCCGTTCCCATCTGCAGAACTTCCCACAACTCTGGGGGTTTTAAAAATAGCGTGACAGCAATCTGTCTTGTTTGTCTCCATCCCACTCTGGAGGATGGAGCTCTGCTGGCATGCGTGGGAGCAGGCCTGGAGAAAAAAAGAGAACACGCTCAGGTTAAGCTGTCTTGAAAGGCCAGGGCAGACCTAGTCAAACTAATTTTCTTCCCATCTTGCAAACAGAGAAAGCCAGCATGAGGGCAGCCCCACAGAGGCACCTGCCTCCAAGAGCCTCCCAAACCCCTCTAGCATGAGGAGTCACAGGCATTAAAAAAGAGGGAAATTTGGGGGCTGCTAGGGTCAGTCCTAGCACTTGATACGGCGCACTGTTTTAGGAGTAGGGAAACAGAGGCATGGAAGACATGCGCACAGTCACCAAGCTCTTAGTAGCAACACAAAGAGAAATAAATTCCCTTTAGTGCCAGACCCCAATGACGTACAAAACATAAAACATACTCTCTTTCCAGATTTGGGGATGCCAGCATCCTATCAAGACTGGAGGCTGCAGGGTTCCAGGCCAGGCCTAGGAGTGGGCTAACTTCTCCAGGCAAAGGGGTGCTGGAGGCTGAGTTCCCAGCCTGGCGCTGGTCCATGCGACTCTCATCGCCTTCACACAAATACTGATCCAGGTTGACGTTTTCATTTCTGCTTTTTAGCAGCATCCCACCACCCAACTTCATGTTTGCATGGGGCACTGGGCGGGGATGTGCCAGGGAACAGGACAGCCTTGTGACTCTTCCCTGGGGTACTGCTAAAGGACACAATGCACCTTCCTACTTCTGCGATAGAGCCCAGCTCCCCTCCTTTGACTCTGGTTAGGCTGCCTTTCCCCCTGCTGCCAGCAAAGCTGCCATCCTTTCAGCCCCACAAAGAGATACTCAGAGAAGGAGCTGGCAGATCCTTTCCCCCATGCTGCAGTGGCTTAAAAAAGGAGCCCAGCAGGGAGAAGAGGGTACAGCAGGCCAACAGGCACCAAGGAAGCACTGTCCAAGGAGACCAGAAGTGTTTGTGCTCCTGCTACCTGCTCTCAAACCCGCTTGACAGAGAGGGGATGCCACTGACAGGAACCTGAGTGGCAGTACACCAGCCTGCTAATCATCCTTCTTCTCTTCCTTTCAGCTGGTGAGGGATGGAGAACAAAGGTCTCCAAACTTATGCTATAGGAGGGAACAAAATTCACCAGGATCTGTTCAGACAAGCATCAGCAACAGCCAGGGAGACAGACAACCTGCTCAAATTAGTCTCATTAAACCCTGGCAAGAAAGACAGGAAGCAGAACGAGGGTGCAAACAAGACCAGCATGCTATCACTCCCCCACTTTCCATCCCCGTGTGCTCCTCAAGGGGATCACTGCTCCATGCTCCTCAGTCTTGCCTCTAACTTTGCCTGCACAAAGCTCAGCGACGTTTTCTCCTGTAGCTTACCTATCCTGCATAAGACTCCTTGCCCTCCCTTCCCCTTACAAAAAAAATTTGATGTTGCAGCACAGGACCATCCTAGAGAGGAAAGAGAAGCAGATGTAAATGAGAAGAAAGAAAAAAATTATCAGAAGCAACATCATCCACCAGCCAAAGGAATCATGTTTGAGATGGCTCACTGCTGTCCTCGTGTGCTGCAAGAGGGAGATGCATGCAGGGCTTTGCAGAGCACTGCCAACTTGGGGCAGGGGAAGGGAAGAGAGCAAGAAAGAGCAATGAGAAACGACCAGTGGGGGAAGGCCCAGATGATTCAAGCTCCCACATAAAGCCACAGCTCTACAGTTTGCTGCACTTGACATAGGCTGAGATTTGGGCTGGCACCAGTAATGACAAGCCAAGCTGCTTTTTCAATGTACCTTTGGTCTCCAGCACAAGACAGGCTCCCCATCACTGGTACAAGGGAACATAAGTGGTGCAAGACATATACTACACAGATGAGCTCCATGCAATCCCTGCAGTTGAGGGCAACTTTACATCAGCCCAGCAGTCCGTTAGAGCACTATGTGATATAAAGCTATACAGAACAACCATTAACGCAATAGGAAACCCCTGCCCCCTCTAAATCCATGCATGAGCATAGGAAGCTTGTTAACAGCAGGCACAATAAACGGGAAAAATTTGACTTCCAAGGTTTTTCTGACGTGGTCACAGAACTGGGAAGTGGTCTAGACCCTGTGTAGAGCCCCAGGGAAACAGGATGGAGGAAGGTTATTATCTTAATAGTTCATTAGAAGTACCAGCAACCACCACAGTATCACAAACAGGATAGAAGTGAATCTAAAATGTGGACAAAGATGGAAAGGAAATCTCTTCCTGGGCCATTGCTGGTAGGGAAATATATCTATTACAATTCGGAAACTACTGCTTTGTCTGAGATTACAGAGCATTTCATTAGAGACCAGCACTAGAACACTCAGGTGGTCAAGAAAAATCTAAATAAAATTACTTTAACCATACAATTTCCATTGATGTAGTGAGCAAAGATAAGTCACCTACAGCCCCAGAGCAATCAGTTAAACAAAACAAGCTGCCAGGGCAAGCAGCACCAGTCAGGGCAGACTCATCTGCTTTCTCCATTCTCCTTTTAACTTTCTTTTTCACATACAGTCCTGCAGGCATTTTCTCAATGACATCAGCAAGGCAGATTTGCCTTCTCCCCTGCCAGGCAAAGCCCATCTCAAGCGAGGAAAGGAAATACTCCATTGTATGTACCTAATGTCAAAAACAGGCTTCCCTCCTGCAGTTCCCTAAAGAATTTGTCCTTCCAAGGTGAGGCGGGCAGGTGCCAATGAAAGCCTGTGGCTTAGAGAGCTGAAACAAGGAAGGGAAGGCTGTACATTCAAAATGTAGCTTTCCTGAAGACATAAATTAGAAATATCCTGCATGAACAGGAATTCAGTCCAATTGTGGAATATTAAAGTAGCATGTCACACTCCAGGTTTCAACAGCAACAGACACACCTGTATCTTTGGGGAACTGAACAACAAATGCAACCTGTCATGGGAGAAGCTCCTGGGGGATCTACTACTCCTGTGCACGTAACAGTAATCATATCCTCAGATCCCCCAAAAACCTGGGCGGAGAAGCTTTGGAAATGATTGGTTCTCCTATTCGTATAACAGCTCTGCCTGGAAGGAGCAAAACTCACTCCTCCATTTGGAGAGCACTTTGGTTCATTCGTCAAACACTTGGGCATGGGCTAGTCTCTGAGCACATGAACATGCAGACAGTAGGCAAAAGGCCCTACCACGTGCCTAAAGCTAAATTTGAACAAAAGTGCTTGGCTGGAGCTGGGTAGAAACCTGCCTGCCATATTCAGCCTTTGCTGATGAGTTATTTTTGTTCCCTGCCAGAGGTGGGGGAAGCAGGGAGAAGCTGTCTAGGCTGCTAAAAGATTAAATAAAAAGGAAGAAAAATGTGGAAGTTAATATTAATCATGTCCATCAAAATACCTAACACATTGCTGGCAGGGGTTCTTCAGCACTCAGGGAGCGTCTTTGCGTGAGCGCATGAAAATCAGAGGCCAGCAGGGAGCCGCAGGGATGCCAGGCTATGACTGCCAGCCCAAGGCCCAGCATGACCCACAACTAACCAGCAAGCTTCAGCCACCCCTCCAAACAAGGGACTCTTCTTTGCCTTAATCCTGGGCAGAAACTGGTCACCAGTGCTTTTCCTGCTGCTTCCAGCTTTCAAATCCCCATCTTCCCTCCTCACATGACCTTTCTTTGCTGCAAGCGCAAGGCAGAAAAACTAGCCAAAGTCCCATTGGGACTACTCCTTTTCATCAGCGGCACTGGGGGCACCAAAATCCTTCAGGGAGATGGTGCGAGAAGCATACCAAGAACCAACTTCAAAGGGGCTTCCTGGACATTCCTATCTGCATTCCACTGCCCACTAAGCCAAGGGATGCCACAGGACATAGTAGGCGGCCAGCAATTTCCATTGTCTCATGACAAAACTGTCTATTTTTGGTCACAGGTCAACACTAGAGGTGGGTTGTCAGCTCTGAGTGGACCAGCCTCTGCTTCCCTGTGCAAAGGGATGTTTCAAGCCACATCAAGGTCTCAACAGTGCTAAGGAGGAGCAGCAGGAGGTCATCTCTCCTCTTGGCAACATCTTTCACGGGGAAAAGGCAGGCTGCCCAATGGATCCCACCCTGCTGAGCCTCCGAGACTGAGGCACTAACAGCACACACCATCTGCTGCTCCCACGCTGTCACGGCCATAGCTAGCATGGACGTACAGATGTCAAAGCCTAGGGACGCCTGGATGCTCCCAGCCTGAGCCAGCGTACCAGACAGGAGCATTGCTGCAGCCAGCTGTGCAGCCCACCCAAAATCAGTCCCTTTTTGATTTGCCTTGAGGCAAGGCAGCCGTTTCCATGTCTGACCCAAGGACATCCTCGCTCCTAGCACGCAGTCTATGTTTTATCAGTGCCACAGGCCCTTGGCCTGACTGTTCACAAAGGACTGTCAGCAGGAGCAGTGGTGCTGAGTGCAGACAAAAGTGTAGCACTCTCAGTCCGTGCTGGTCAGCTGGAAAAAAAACAGGATTCCACAGTATCCTGGGTTTTCTTCCTTCCTCCATCACTGACTGACAGCTGTGCTGTTCTGTAGGAGTCACATCACCTGCTTGGCTCACTCTTCCCATCAATGAGATGGGGATCTCCCAGTGAAGCTGATTCACGTCATTCATTTGCAATTCACTGGTGTTTTACAGCTCACAAATGGATAACTTATAAGAACCAAGCAGAACCCTTTGTACAGCAACCAACACTATCCAGCAGCTGCAATCAGAAGAAATGCGCTCGTGCCCTCCCTGAGCTCCTAGACACTCAGCCCCTCTCAGGATTGTGGCATCAGAGACTGTCTTGGACATAGCAGAGATGCTGCCAAAACTTGGCACATCTGAAAAACACACAAGCTGAAATAGCTAAGAGTGGGATCAGATCTGAACCACAATAACAACAGGAGAGAGATCAGCCTGAAGGCAACCCCACACAGCCCACTGGCTTTAGCCTCCTGGGACAACCACCCCAGCCTCCCTGCCAGCAAGGGTTAGCACTGAAATTTGCTGTAGAGGTGGCAGGAGCAAGTTGTTTCTCTTGGCTCAGTGGGAATGAACTCAACTGCCACAGATCAGCCCAGAAAACCTCCTACCAGAGCCCTTGCTGCTCTGTTAGCAGAGACTGAAGTTTGCCAGAATGCCCATAGGCTTCAGAGACGGAAAGGCTCCTGTTGCTCTACAGAGCCCTCAAGCGTGCAGAGCCCGCAAAGCTACCTCCTGCAGTCTTCACACAATCCAGGACTGCCAGGTCCAGGTCCTATGGTGCCCTAGCCTGTCGCAATGCCTACAGGGGCAAACACATCCCTGGCAGAGGTGTAAGGCAAGTATCACTCGACCACCACATCGTTAACAAACTCAGCCCTTCCAGACAAGGAGAAGGTCTGTGGAACTGCCTGCCAACTCATCGTGCCCCATCCTGAACACAAGAGGGGCCACAGCTTGCAGTCCCATTCCATCTTTGCCGTACCAGTGAGGGCAGAAAGCAACTCCCAGCCCAATCCACCTGTCCAGAAGGATTCAAGAGGGAAGCGGTTTCCCTGCCTGGAACAGCCAGGATCTCCCAGCCTGATCCACAAACTTAGGGCCAAGCATCATCCAAACCATCTAGAGACCCTGCACAAACTTGCCATCACCCTTCACAAGGGCCCCTCTGTGGACTGCAGCTCTCCACAGTATCTTGCCCAGTGCAAGGAGCTTCTCTTGCCCCTCAGCGCGGACATCAATTCCTCCCAACAGCATTAGCTGCTCTGCTCTATCTCCAAAGACAACAGGAGAAGAGGGAGCAGCATCAGGGTACTAACCCCATAGAGAAAAGGGATATTGCTACTTTTCTCCAGGATGGGCTGCAAGGACAAAAATTAGTGGAAGGCAGAACTGGCCACTCTGATCACTGCCATAGTGCCATTTAGGCCTAAATACACCAGCCCATACCTGCACTCCCCATAGACTCCCACCCTTTATCCAGTCCAAATGAGACACTTTTTAGGCAGAAATATCCAAGTGTATCTGGTCGGATCCTGTCTCTGTCCAACTCATTCCAGAAGGGGATGTCCCCCTTGCCACTTGCCTTCCCAGACACAGAAGCAGCACTGCAGGATGGCTCTTCTCTGCCTCCCATGATCCGCAAGCAACAACTGGAAGATAAACATAAGGCAGCTAGTCATGCCCTAGGATACAAAGACACCTCTGTCTAGGCAGTTTAAGGCACCAAACACCACAGAGCAAAGTCAAGCTCAGTGTTTTCTTGCCTATGATCTATTCCTGCCACAGTGTTTAAAGGAGCCACGCAGCACTGCATTTTCGCAGACAGGTATTACCCAGCCCATAAGGGTTCCCGAGGGAGAGCCAGTCATCTCAACACCCCAGAGAACAGAAGCACTGAGCTGTCAGCCCAATTGCTATGTCCCACTCCAAACCCCAGCACATGTGCCCAAGTGTGCATACGCAGCTGCTGGCCACTTTGCTGTCCCTCCTCCCTCACAGCATTCCTCCAAGGTCACATTGGCTATTGCAGAATTACTGGGGAGACAGTCTGTCTGCCATGGACAAATGCCCACCTGTTGTTATCTGGAGCCCCCAGTGCCATCTAGCTTCAACAGCCAGGCTTCCTAACCTCAGCAAGTTAAGTTGCACGTTCATTTGCTCTTGTTGCTATTTGGACTGTATCCACCAGAGTACTTAGCTCTGGCTCGTAGCCATCATGCAGTGAACTTTGTGCTCATCTCAGTCTGAAACATACCATGCAACAACAGTTTTCATCAGACAGGAGCCAAGACCCTCACCACACACCATCTGAGGGTTTCAAGAAGAACTATCAGGAGATGGAATGCCTAAAGGGAAACTCAAAAATACATGAGAGAGGCAGATAGGTGAGAAGGAGTACGGATAATAATATAGCAAGCTGAAGAGACCACCTGCTTTGAGCCACAGTGTAGAAGCTGCAGTTTCGAAGGAGTCTTGGCTGCACTTCCTGCTGCCAGTGGATTTGTTGAGGAATGCTCACCTTGGGATTATGGACAATGACCTCTTCTCCATAACCAAATCAGGGATACGACTTGTTAACAGGCCTTATCAGAAGATGGCAAGCTATGTTCACCCACTGCCTTCCAGTAAGGGTTGCCCAAGAGACCATCTGCTTTCAGGTGCCTTTCCATACAAACCATCCTTTACAGATCTGGGAGATCAGGCTGTGTGAATCCCAGTGATCATCTAAGGAGGATGAGCTGCAAGTGCCCAAAATACCATCAGGGAGCAGCCCAAGCCATGAATCTGAGCGTCAACCACCAGGAAAGCAATGCCAGGGCTGCTTGTAGACTCCAGCAGGCACATCTTACCGTGTGAGGGTTGTCATAGTAGACACCAATGGAGCAGAGCTTCGAAGAGATGCTGCAGCTATCTGTGAACAGTTGCCCTGATTCGCCATACGGCCCAACTCTGAACTTGTAGGCCAGTGTGATGCTGCCGACGGGTGGTGAGCCAGCACTCACAACAACCTCTGTGAAAAGCCCCGAGTAGACAGCGAAACCGAAGACAGTCAGCAGCAGCAGCACAACCAGCACTCCAATCAGCCCAAGGAGCACCCAGTCAGACATGATGCTTGGTGCTTCAAACTCCACTCACAAACTATTGGTAAGGGAAGAGAGGAAAAAAGAAGGGAATTAAGCTAGCCCTTGGAGAAAGCAGTTATCCTCTAAAGCTATTTTTTTCTAGCAAAAACCACTCACTTCCAATTCCTCTTCCTTATGCGTGAAGGAAGTTCAAAAGCAACTGAGCCCCTCCACCCCCCGCCCCACTAACCCTCTGTAAGTTAATCCTTTTAACTTGCTTTAGCAAGTTCCAAATGCTTTAGCCTGTTCCAATTTGGTCACCAGATAAAAATTATGTGGCTTCAATACCTCTTGGAAACAAAGCGGTTAAAGGAAGGGGAACATAAAGGGACTGTCCCCATCTCCCATAAACCAGCCAAACTGCATACATCCAGCACTGCATCCAAGAGAGACTGAAAACTAATCAGGAAGCCCATATCACTGGACATATCATAACTAAGTACACAGCACTGGGCTAATAATTATCAGACCATAATCAAATCATTTATCATTTATACATATCAGCTGCTATATTTTGACCCAGGCAGCTCCTCTGTCAAAAAGTTTTGAGCTAGAAGCCCATTCCTTTAAAGAGCTAAACTAGGATTAAGATGGCCTAGAGGCAAGCCTTGCTCACCTAGAACCAAGCACACTGAGAGTCTCCGGAGAAGCAGCTGAAAGTCCAGCTAGAAGAAGCATCCCCAACATGCGAAGGTGCAACAAATTACTAATATTTACTTTAGATTGCTTTCTTAATCTAGAAGAGTTTTTAAAACCCCAACCAAGACTGCCTGTTTTGTTTGATGTCTTTTCTTTTTTTGCTGACTGTACAACACACCACTTTGGTGTCCCTTGCTAATTTTCATCCACCAAGCACAATTGCTTTGGGGAGTTTTAATCGAACATAGCAAAGGAAAGTTGTTTATATTTTACTCTCCCTTGAAACATAGTTCTGATCACAAGGACTGTTTGTGAAATTCCTTTGGGATTTCTAACAGGAGCTAGGTTTGAAAGCTAGAACTCAAATAAACAATTCACCTTCAACTCTATTTTATAAATATGGTTTCTCTGAAAAAAAGTTTTTCACCTCAGCTACAGTTTGTTCAGGTTTATTAAGAGAAAAAAGCCACATCCTGGCAAGAACCACACTCAGTTCAGCTCCTGTTTCTACCCAAGACAAGCAAGAGTACAGTAAAATCAAATATGCAAAGCCAGCATCATCAGCTGCTGACCGTCGTCTCAGCACCACAGCAGGGTCAAGCCAGGGACAGATTGATTAGTCTGCACCACAAACTTACTCACCTGAAAAGTCAGAGGTGCTCAACCTAGAAAGAGTTCATGATCTCTGCCCTACACAGACGCAGGATCCTCGTCTCTGTAACAACAGGAAAAAATAAATATCATTACTTCCTTTTAAAGTCATGAAGCCAAAAGCAAAAATCTTTTCAGAAAGAAAGTCATATCAAACCATTTTGAAGGCATTATGTTGCACTAGGTATGGGCTCAAGGATCTATTCCCCAAGGGAGAGACGTCATGAAAAGCCATGCTGCAGAATTTTACAGGAATCCAAAAATAAAGGCAAAGATTTCTTTCCAAAACTCTAAGATCAAACATACTGTGACAGAGAAGAAAGAACATTAAAAAGCAACAGCATGGCTTGAATGAGGACAGCTTTTTGCTCCAGCATCTGCCAGCACATCTCACTCCTGGCCTTTACCCCCTTGGTTTCAGTTCTTCCCTACAGCTTCTCCAGAAAACCTTAGCCTGGACTTACCATCCCCTCTGCTTAACCTGGGACAAGCAGCTGCACTCAACACCTTTTCTGTGGTAATCATGAAGCAAAACGCTCTCAAACCTTTAGCTTACATGAAAATTACAGGTCCATTTCAATTCTTAATGCTATCATGTTTCAACCTAATAAATAACTCAAGATTTATTACTTTAAATTATTTACCTGTTTTAGTATTTTTTATAATCTATCAATCAAACATTCAACTTGAAAATGTTAAAAGATTACAGTTTTCAAAGGACAGAAGGATTATTTTATCCTTTTCTCTTCATGGTTTCAGTTTAACTTGTATACAGTTCTTTAATCATGTGCAATACACATGTGATTTGCCATTCACCCTCCCTAGAGGTGACAGGATCTAAGTTTGTACAATCTCTTTCCAACCTGGTACGTAGCCAGAAAGCTGAGAGATTTGTTAGTGATTTGTTAAACTTCCCTCTCCCTGGTACACCATACTCTTTGACAAGAGAGGAGAATTTTAGATCATAAGAAGAATTTGACCAAAATGGTCTCAAAAAGTAATAAAAATGAAGACAATATTTTATGCCAACCGGGCAAGAAAGCATAACTCTCAGCCCTGCGTGTTTTTATTGTCCAAAGCCTGCTCAATGTCATCTTAGAAGTGAGACCATACAGCTTGTATCACTGCCCTACACAAAACAGGCACACAAGAGGCAGAAAGCACACGCAGTACACAAAAGGAGGGAGAAGGCTGCAATCAGCACTTTTTAAAAAAGTGATAGGAGGCAAACGAACAAAGCCATCAAGCAATCGGTCTGTCCAGTGCCCAGACGCTATTTAAACCCACAGAAATGGGAAGCTGCTACAGAATTGCAATTGTCCCTCAGTTAGCCGGAGAGCAGCAGTGGTCACAGCCTAGCGCTCCTCTTGTCTGTGATGTGCTTCCTGGTTCCCAGCAGCAGCCGGGGAGGTCACAGGCTGAGCTCAGCCCACAAAGCCTCTCCTTCCTCGCCTTAAAGTGCCTGGTGGAAAACTCTGAACTACTCATTTTGGAAACAATCGTGTGTCAGATGCTCTAGAAGGGAACAAAATAGGTCTGTTGTTCTTTCCATTAATCTGCCCTGCCTTCTTCTGCCATGCACCTGGATTGTAATCCTCTGCGTGTGGCATCTGTTTGGCTAACTCCACGGCCACAAGCAGGGGATTACGGCTTCAGGTGAGGACTGAACAGGATGGAAAGAGAATCCACCCCTGCCCCGACCAGCCTGCCATCCCAGCCTCGGGTGACTGGGAGTTTGGTACTCAAGACAGGAACAGCCTTGTTCCCTGCTCCCTTCATCCCAGCTGCCACAACAACACACATGAATATCAGCCGGGGCCAATTTCTCCCTCCATCCAAAACCTCAGAGAGATTGACTGCATCTACCTCGCTCAGGAGATGCTCAAGGTAGCTGCTCTGGGGCGCTCACCTAAGCACCCCTGTATGGGGGCCTGCACGAGGGGGAAAAGGCATAGGATATCCCAGCAGCTTCCTCCGAAACACATCTTCATCCTCAGCTGAGAGAGGCAGCAGGCAATGGGACGCTGCCCTGGCAAGCATCACCCCCTTGGCACCCACAGGGCCACTGCCAGAGCCAGTGTCAGTCCCAAGCCATCACCTGCTGGGGGTCAGTCATCTCCTTGGCCCCATGGTCCCCAACACTCTGCAAACCCCCCAGTGAGACCTCTTGATCGGGCCTAGCATGTCCATCACTCCCCACAGGGACCCTCCTGCACAGGACCAGGGCACTGCACCCCGGCTGGGACCCGCTGCCCACCAGCCCTGCCGCAGGACCTCCACGGGCTCCTCCGCTCCCACCCAGGATCCTCTCCTCCATCCCTGCGTACCTGCGCCAGCATCCCTAGCTGAGACCCACTGCCCCTGCCCGGGGGATCCCCCGGGGACGGCTGTGCCCGAGCCCCCTTCAGAGGGCTCCCAGGTGCCTGTCATCCCTACGAGAGATGCCGGGTGCCCGTCCCTCCCCGAGGGATCCCCGGGGACGGTATCGGAGGGCTCTCCGGTGGCCC